ACTGTGATGTTCAAAGTGGCGAAGCTGGTGTAAAGACCATCAGACGCACTCACGTTCAGTTTATACGACGATACAGTCTCGCGGGCTAGCGAAGAGTGCACAAAAACTTTGCCCGTCTTCTGCTCGATTCCAAACTTAGTTTGAGGATCACCAGACATGATAAAGTAGTATATGTCCGAGTTCAAGTCTTGATCCTTAGCCAAGAGTGTGCCAACTTCTTGTCCAATCAAAGCGTCTTCACGAACGAAAAACTGAGAGAATTCCTGAGAAAACTTCGGTGGAGAATCGTTCACATCCAGCACGGTTACATGTACAGCGGTATGACCCGACATCTGAATGACCTCGCCTCTATCAGTGGCGCCGACGCTCAGGACAAGGAAGTCAGAGAGTTCGCGATTGAGTGGCGCCGCTGTTGTAATCCAGCCAGTTTGCTTGTCAATAGAAAAGAACATGGATTCTCTCTTGTTAATGTGCGTGAAATCGTACAGAATCTGCCCATTGTTTGCGTCGTCTAAATCCTCGGCAAACACTCTCAGAACCTTGGATCCAACCTTGATGTTCTCTAGTAAACTAACCCGGTATGGATTGGCCACGAAGTGTGGTTTGTTGTCATTGACATCCGTCACTGATACGATAACTACAGTGCGTGCGACTTGAGAGATAGCAGAAGCATTGGCCTCGATTACAAGAACGTATCTCTTCAAAGTCTCGTAATTTAAAGAAGATTTCAGTGTGATCTGACCGCTAGCGTCAATACTGAACTTCTCTCCTCGCGACGAGGGTGAATTTCCAGGAATAATCGTTAAACCGACGTGTGGACGATCTCTTCCTGGAAACGAGGTGCGCACAGTTGCAACCGCAGAGTTGACGTTCGCGACTTCAGGTACACTGACTCGATACTCCGACTTTTCAAACTGCAAAATCTTGGCGTTTTCACTTAGAACGTTCACAGATACAGACACCATGTTCCGTAGCTGCGGATAGCCGCCGTCCTTGACCAGGACATGAAACATGTAGGTCTTCTCTTCAGGCTGCTGAGCTATTTTTATTAACCCTGAGTCTGCCTCGATTTCAAACACCGGTGGAGTCTGGTGACCAAGAATGACGTAAGTCAGGACACTGTAACTTCCGGAGTCCGCATCGTTCGCTGACGTCATCAGGATAGCACTGCCGACTGGGGTTGGACGCTGAACGGTTACCTCGTATCGCGGGAGCTCAAACTTTGGTTGGTTGTCGTTCTCATCTAAGATTTGAACCTGTTGACAAAGTGAGAGACGCTTTGATTAACAACTTAGCGATAACGACATGCTTTGCGCAACTTTCAGTTGCAAAGTAATTTTTTTGGAAATGCCCTTCGATGCGCATCTTGAAAAGTTTAGCCTAAATTTCATCATGTCAATCTTCTCCATCTTTCACCATCCTTGTTCCTTTATGGTTTGTTATTATCTCTTCAGTGATTTTCTATCTTAGGAAACTATTATTTTCAGGTTTCCTTCAATTTAAAGGTTATGGTTGTACGCGGCCAATATAACTGAAAATAACGTGACTGGGCTCCTTAAGACAAAAACAAACTGAGCGTAAGAAAGAATTCAAGGATTTATAAGTGGTTTCAGAAAAAGAATTATGAGGCAAGCAGTATAGCATAAAAAGTATAGTATACCTCCACTGTACAGAATGCAAACCTTCCACCTCCATCAGTGGCCCGGATAGGTACAGAAGTAAATGCATGGGACGAGTTTTCGCGATCAAAGGTGAGCCTGCTGTATATCCTCCCTGTGTCAGCGTCGACACTCAACTTTTCCATGGCCTCGAGATCGTCAACAGAATAACGTACACGCGCGAAGTTACCCGAGTCTTTGTCAGTAGCAGTAACCATGGTGACAAACGTGCCAGGAGGGTAATTCTCGTAGAAATTCACAGTGTATATTTCTTGGTCAAACAGTGGGCTGTGATCGTTGGTGTCTCTGATCACGACCCGAACGCTGGTCTGTGCAATCGATTTGCCATCGGTGACTTCAATACCAAGGTCATAAACCTTGCCTCGTTCAATGCCAGCTTGTCTGGAGATGGTCAGAACGCCTGATCTGGGANAAATATCGAAGTAATATTAGCTGGCAAATTAGTCAAAGTTCTTATTTCTTGCGCGACGTTAGCCGTAATGGAGGATTCACACAATTATCTTCGACTCTTTTCAAAACCCACTCTGTAAGTTACCTTAAGCCTCTTTCTCAAAGCGAGTCTTGGTGCCCATCCTTTCATGTGAAAATGAGATTTCATTCACATGAAAATTACACTCATTTTCATATGAATGGTTGAGTACCAGGCCTCGCTTGGATAGATAGGCTTAGGGCAACTCGGAAATGGGCTATTGCTGGTATAAGGCAAATAAAGACATGTGGTAGTTGTTGTTAAATAAGGCCCGGAATTCGTCCTAGTCATGTTCACATAGACTCGTTTAAGCGTCACATCAGAGCGCGTAAATAAACACTTATACCAAATCACATACTTGATTTCGCCATTGTTGCTGATGTCATCATCATGTGCCTCGACCTTTCCGACAGTGGCCCCGACGTCTACGCTTTTCTTCACGACGAAGAAGTAGGACTCCTCGGTGAACTTCGGCGCATTGTCATTCACGTCATCAACTTCTACTAGCACCACGCTCTGAGCAACTCTCGGCATCGGTTTTCCACTGTCCTTAGCTTGTACGACGATTTCATATCGATCTACAGTCTCACGGTCAAATTCTCTGCCAGACAAGGTAGATACAATACCCGTGCTTTCGGAAATGACGAAGAAATCCGACGGAGTAACGATTGAGTAGGTAATGGTCTCCCCGATTGAATAACCGACTGCACGAACTTCAGCGATGTCGCTTGCTGAGCTGACTCCTTCCAGAACAGAGGTGTTGTATCTGCCCTGACTGAACTTCAAGTCGCTGACAGGCAGAGGCTTACAGTCGATGTCGACAGTGGCTTGATCTGTGAAGTTACCGTCGGAAACAGAAACCGTAAGGTAATATACGGCTTCATGTAGGAGAGACGCGTTTTTCACGGTTATAACACCAAGTGTTGGAGAAATATCGAAGATCTGAGACAGAGGTGCGGAGACAGACTGTGTAACAATAGAATAAATTAGATTTGTGAGAGACAAGGTATCTCCATCAGTCGCGCTGACTCTGATGACCTCAGTGCCCGGGAAACTTGGTAAGTACAAAATCGCGGAAAAGACAGGATAGACGAACGCAGGCGGGAAGTCGTTCACGTCCTCTACAAAGACTTCAACATCAGTGAAAGCAACAAGACTCCATACTCCATCGTCAGAAACTTTGACTTTGAACTTGTAGAAGGATGTTGATTCGAAATCCAACGCCTGCAAATTAAGAAAAGAAAACAATATGGATGTTTAATAACGGTCATGTCAACTAAAAACGCAGTGGCTGTACAATAAATTCTGCAACTGCCCATAAGGAATGCAGTAAAAAACAAACACGTATAAGAACCTAGGTTTTTTCAACCTCCATAGGTTCTTGTATAAATGACATTTACTGTGAAAGTAAGCTACCAAGGTTTTTAATCAGGTTCTTAATTTTTGTTTAAAACAACCAATGGTACAGCATTGTGGTCTTTATAACATTGCCAGTGTTCTGGCTAGTGTTAACCGGAAATATAAGGCCTCTTCTTTACGGGCAAGTTTCGTGTCCCGTAAAGATGCGTAGTAAATGCGGAGAATGCGTAACGGATATTAAATGTCCGTAAAAGATAAGGATCTAGATGGATATAATTTATCACTTCCTATTTAGAGAAATACTCAAAGAAGTGAAATAACCATGTCTTATCCATCTGCAGTAGAAATACCGAGTTATTTTGACCTTTTCGCTCTACACACTTAACGCATCTTTAACATCCTTTACGCATCTTTACACACTGTTCTTAACGGACCTTTAACTTTCTTCACGCCAATCGATCTTTACGCGCCTTTATGGTATGTGTAAAGGTATCAAAAACATATCTTTACGGCTCTTTTCGGAACACATTTTAGGTATCAGTGTTTTTTTTTTACGCATCTTCGCAACGAAACTGTTGTAAGGGAGGATGATCATCGTTTGTTGGTTGCAGCTTCTACTGATATCACCGTTCTCAAAATTTTAAAAACGTGAAGACGTTGTATACCGATTGACGAGTCAAGTGAAGCCGTCGACTTCGAGTAGTCTCTCTTTTCCTCGAAAATCCGCGGGGAAGAACGTAAAACGAGTAAGCGTCCGATTGTGACTGTGAGCGTGACGTGCGAGCAGCGACTTAGTTGTTTTGCGTTCTTCCCACGGATTTTAAGAGAGACTGCTCACAGTCTAGTGGAGCTGTAGGTACGAATCAGCGGTTTTCCACATTAGGTACCAGGTTTTCTCGGTTTTCGCGCCATTTCTATTTTGGCGTGCGTTTCTCAAAAGACCCGAAAACTCCACGGTTCCAAAAACGGACCCGTAAAGCTTCCGAAAAATCTTTCGGGTGTTTCTCAAAGCGCCGGAAAAATTTCGAGCCCGTGAAATACGTCATTTTCCCCCGTAAACGTTACGGGTACTCACTACCTCCTGAAAAGCGTTTTCGGGTTTGTTTTCTTGTACTTAGTTAATAAAATGACGTCCGCTAGCTGACATACTTTTTAGGGCAAAATAAACGGCCAAGGCCTTACATAAAAAGAGAGAGAGTTGAGGAAGTGAGAGAGAACAACGTCGTAATGAAATACGGATTTTAACAAGGCGAAATTCAATGGCTAATAGCATTTAAAAGACAAGTTTCAAAACATTATCGAGCGCGACGCGAAAGCCAGAGGAATTTTCATACTTGTCAAGCTGTATGAAGTGAATTCGATTTTTTCTGCCGTAAGTTCCCTACAAAAACCACCCAAATTCGTTCCACAGTTCAGCAAAACAAAGTCTTATAAAGTGCTTAATGACTGAGATAAAGAACTGCGGAATTCAGCCGAAAAAGAACATTTACAAACCACTCGTCAACCAAACATTCAAGATCTAAAAACAACGAGAACACGCCATTCAGCATTCAGCGCGTTCTTCGCAAATATTACAAGCTAGAAACAAACAGACTCCAAACACCTGCATTTAATACTTACTTCAAACTTTCCTTACATTCTTAATACCCTTTAGCGGTCAATCAAAGTACAGAAAACGGTGTTGGAATTGTACAAACGAAAGCAATAGCCAAAAATTGCCCGTAATTCGACGAAAGAAGGTTTGATTTGTAGCGTACGTGAGGAACCCAACTCAGTGCAGCGGTGACAATTTAGGTTCTTATACCAATCACTATCAAGCTCGTGCTACAAACCCGAAAAAGCTGGAAGCCCTTCCCATAATGCATTGCGAACGGACTATATTATCAACTGTCGCTTGTCACGTGACCTACAATTTGTCAGTGGCGTTCATGGCGTCCGCATTGGAGAGTCGATCATTTCTTGAATGTTAGTCAATAAAGTAATGCGCTTTTGGCCGTGTGTTGTGCTGTAAAGTACAGGAGATCTTTTTCAAAATCCGCAAGTTGACTAGCAATAAATTACCCGTCGTAAAGATGAGATTTTATTTGTTGTTGCGAGATTGATTCGCACTGGAGTTCTGTCGTTTCGCCTTCGTTCCGCTGGAATTTTTCGCTAAATTCAAGCCGCCAACGTTCCTTTTTGTCCGTTCGCCAACGGATTGGTTTAATTTAGTTCGCCAATGTCTTTTTCTGTTTCTCTACATCTCATAAAATAGAGTAGGATCCTCGAAATCGCCAAGTAGTAAAAACAAATTGGTGGTCTTTTATAAGCTAAGTCTTACTTACGAGTGTAAGTTTGATATAATCTTTTTTAATATTTCATATTTGTTTACGTTCATGTTAAACTAAGCTGAATTCATTAAAGTTATTTTTCACGCGAGATATGTGGGAGGTTAGTTTCTTGAAACAGATTTTGCGTGAGTGTTGACCAGTGCGAGTGTAGGTTTTCTTTCTAAAAGCTGGTAAGTTTCATGAAAATATCAATTTATTTGCCATTAATATTTCTTCCTGGCTCTGTAGTAAAATGATATTTGCTGTTATTGTGTTAATGTAAGGAAGTTCTAATAAATTGATTTATACTGCATTGATATACGAAAGAACAAACACGCTATAAATTATCAAACTGCACTCTAGTCCTTCAGAATTATTTTACTGATTGCACTTTTACATTTTTTCATTTATACATTATAATTAAATAATAAATGCTCCGAACAAATATAGTTATTCTTGTTATATGTACCAAACTAGGTATCTGGGCTTGTGGCTGCCATAAAACAGTGACCCTTTCTCCAAAAGGGCAAGTAGTATATAAGGTAGTCGACAAATACCGTTTTGTAGCATAGGCCTTTGTTTTCCCGTTTTTACCCTTCCAAGCTTAACTCCCTCACAGGTATCGGGAGTTAAGCTTGGGAGGGTTAAAACGGGAAAAAAAGGCCTATGCTACAAAATAGTATTTGTCGACTACCCTATATACTACTTACAACAAAGGGAGGGGGGCAATTGGAAACAAGCGAGCCAGCTGTTACACCGCCAGAGCCGCGATGTCTCGAGCGACAAACAAGTGCGCGTGGCTGATGCGGGGCCGGAAAGAGAGCTGCGAACTTTCCGAGGCCATTCAAAACCTCCCTCCAGAGCTTCGTGAGATAATTTACAAGAAGTATCTCGCGATAAAAAGGAGGCAAAGAAAGGAAATGGGTTGGGATGAGGTGCATTACGAGATTTATAGGAGCGCATTTT